GAGAATATTATAAAAGCACACAAATAATGTAACATGATCATGAATGAGTCACTTACATATATAAATTTGGTGGTTAATTTGCCATATACTTACATAAGTTGTGTGTATGAATAAATAATAATGTTATACATACATTAAAATATAACACAAAATTTTTATAAATTATCAAAAAAAAATCTCGCTCTTAACTGTAATTGATCCAAGAGCATCATATATTGGATGCTTACACAAAATTTTACTTGCAAACATTTAAAATCTAGTGTTGTGGTAATTAATTAATAACAGTAATTTACTCAATAATTATTGTTATGAAAACAACGTAAATTAACTCTTCTTACATATGTATGCAAATATTCGTTATTTTCGATTACAATTTGTATTTTCACCTGGTGGTTATAATTTAAAACTACTCATAGAAGCACGATTATGAACGCATATCAAAAATATACTACCCTGTACTGTAGTGCTTTAACCATTAAGAATGGCTATTAGGAAATGGTATAATAACAAAAATAATTGAAAAAAAAAATATATTTATAGATTATTTTAGATTGATGGCGACTAATACGCTTTCATTAATTGTTTACAAAATATTGTTTAAATATAGGTTAGCTTATGTATATATTACATATAACACATACATGTATTTTTTGTTATCCTTTTTAAGCAAATTTGAGTTAAATAAAAAAAAATTCAAAACAAAATTTCATGACGCTTTTAAAATTGAATAGGCGTGAGAAAAGCTTTTTCAATTGCCTTACTCACATTCATTTGAAATTGATTTTGTAAGAAAATCGCTAAATTAGTTATAGCCATTAATTTATTATTGCTCCAATGTTTACAAATGAATATGTGCGGTCAAAAATCAAACATAAATAATGAAAGCGGTTAAAATTATTACCACGCCTCAAAAGAACTATTTAACTCAATAAGATGTTTGTGTCGTATTGTGACATGAATGAGTAATAAAAATATTAAATTAAAATATAAAACAAAATTAATTGCAATAAATGTTCCCACAGCTTACTTGAAACGAGAAATTTCGTTCAAGTTCCAAAATAGTGAAATATTTTAGTTAAATCATCTTAATAAATGATACAGCCTAATCGTATAAGTACCTCCCCTTTTCACTTTTTCATCCCCTTTTTTTCTAATATACATTTATTTTTTCCAATAAGAATACTCATTGGAATCAATTGGATTTTTTCTCATATTTTCGAATAATATCTCACCTTCAAATGAGGAAATAATGATTAACAGCCTGATCATGTATCTCGCTTTTTTATGCACTTTTTATTTACTTTCGAATCAGAATTCTCGGTATTTTCTAATGGATAATTTACTTTTCCAATAAGATTGCTAATTTTTTAATTCGACATAACGTCTCACTTTCAAAAAAAAAGTGAATAAATTTTGTATGCATAGATTTAGAAACAAACGACATACGCAATAAAGAATTATTCTTCTCACTCGAAAATTACATTGTTATTCACTTTCTTCTCACTTCGTGGGTAAAATAGCGAGATAGACGATCAGGCCCTAAATTTTGTATACATTTTAGAAAAAACAAGATATAGGTACGCGCATAATACGGAGAAATTCTTCTCATTCGAAAATTACATTGTTATTCACTTTCTTCTTACTTGGTGGGTAAAGTGGGAAGATATACACACAATCACGTCCAATATAGTCTTATAAAAACCTATTTTTTTCTAATAAAATTAAATTTCAAAATAAAATTTTGGATTTTTTACCATTTAAGTATTGTACTTCTTTATGACAACCTAATCTTAAAATTGAAATGATAACTTTAGTGATAAGCTGCTCATTTTAAACCCAATAAAATTAAAAAAGTATAACATAACATGCATGCAATAAAATTTTTAAATGTAAGACATATGTATGTATGTATATATGTAAGTGTTAATTTACATAGATAATTTTTATTATAAAATTTGAATTAACATGAATGAATTTCAAATTTATAAATAAAATTGTATCATGTACCGCTTTCCCTTCAAAATTTCTTCAACTTATTAATATTAGTGATGACTTCATACTAAAAGTATTTCAAAAAGGATAAGAAATATTTCATTAGAAAAGCTTAAGAAAAATAAAGCTTTTTTGTTATCATAAAATATAGTGACCATTATTATTAATTTCTATTCAAAAATAAATAGGTATATAATTCGTATAGTAACTTATAAAGTAACAGGATCTTGTTTATTCAAAGCATAATTAATCTAAAATGAGTACAAAAATTTTATGTAACATTAAGTTTTAAATATTTACGTAACACAATTGTACTAACGTAAATGGATTTTGATTTCAATAATATATGCATATTGAACCTTATTTTCTCTATGCCTTCGTATTTCAAATCTATAGTGGGAATAAATTTTGAAAGTGGACAAGTGAATAGACAAAAACACAACTTTAATGTCCTAATATTTTACAATAATCCTTATTCCAATTAAAAACTAAATACTAATGGTCACTTTTTATAATTAAAAATGTGCCGCCAATGATATCATAAAATCAGCAAATAATAAAATATTTATGTATGTATGTATGTATTTTATGGCGCCTAATATTTACACAATAATGTTAACATTACTATTTACTTATATAAAAGACAAAAAAAATATTCCCTTTAACAAGTGTAATGAGTTTAATAAGGAAGGCATTGTGATAGAATTAAATTTCACATGTCAAATTTCATTCATGATTGTGAAACGTAAGAGAAAAATTTGTGCATAGTATCTGAACTTTTACTATAAGGATCATATTATTTACTTTTTTAATTGCATAGTATTTATTGAACTAATTAACAAAATTTCTTGATTTAATATTTCTTTTCTGATTTTAAATGAAATTAACTGATAAACTTTTAATTAAAATCGGATCCCAAAAAGTGAATTTCTATCAAGAACCAAAGTTACATTTTTCTAGGTATCTTATCCAAAAGGTTACTATGTATACATATTTCATAATTGAAATTTAAATAGCTTAGAAGGCACACACATTGAAATGCGATCGACTATTTACTGACAACATCAAATTTTTTTTTAACTACTTATACATTCTTACATGATTTTCTTCAATAATAAACGTTCATCAAATTAATTACATATTTTTATATACAGATTTATCTACATATGTATGTATACTTATTCATAATAATTTAATATTAATAATCATGCTCATATTATTTACATTAATATTATATGTATTTTTAGTTTTATTTAAAATTCAATTTCTATTTTATTCATACATTATAATTTTTATTATTAATCTAATAAAAAATTATATTGAAAACTATTAAGTTACTTAATCATATTCATATGCACGTACATACTTATATAACACGCGATTTTTACCACTTATACCAATGTACTTACATATTTCATTCAACTATACATGATAGTTATCAATTTTTACTATTATTATAGTTATTTACATAGTCACTGTGCGACACTGTATATAAAAAAGAAGTGAACAGTAATAATTATTATTATCATGATAGAGTAGGTTTTAAGTGTTTGTCTTTAAAGCTATAATCGAGTTAATATACTTTCAACAATTTAAAGTTATAAAAAAAGGACATTAGTAACGCATTTTGTCATTATAAAATTAATATTTTATTCATTTTAATGGATAGTGGCTTTTAAAAGTACGATTGATTATAAAAAAAAATTTTAAAAGTTTGTACGTAGAACTATATCAGAGAGAATATTTTTCTGTAATACAAATGTATGTACATATGTAATTAATTACTATATAATAATGTCCTTGCAAATGTGTAATTATTTGATAATTACAATAAGTGTCATACAGTATTATATTTCAATGTTTTTTTTTTAATAAAAATATTTAAATAAAAATAATGTGTACAAATTTTCGCTCAGAACTACCATGTAATTGATCGCTAGTAATTGATAATAATTACTATTATGCTAATAATATTATTATTATCAAATTAATTATCACAATAGGCAACAGTATAAGCATATACATATATTAATTAGTTGGGTTAGACACCCATTTCGTATATTGTTTACACTGCTGTTATATTTACATTTAGTGTTAAGAAAAATTTATATGTACATAGTTAAAATGTAAAAAATTCACAATTTACTTACATCAAATTAATTAAACTTTATGTTTTCGTTTACATTATAACAGTTTTTTAAAATTCTATAAAATTAGATAAGGTTTGCAATTGCTATTATGTACATGCCCCATAAACGAATTTGTTATCAATAATATTTTGAATTTAGATGTTAATGATCAGCAAAAATATATTAATAAAATTACGTTTTTGATAATTCAATACTAACTTAGTACTAAATGTGTCCTATTTTTGACAATAAAGTACTGCACTTGCTGTCAAATAATGTATTTGATAGTCCGGTACTATTTTTGCTGCTTATTTTAAAACTACAACTGCATGTTAAGGTTTTTAAGATGCACGCGCTACAACAACAAGTTTTGATTTTATTGCTGCGGAAAACATTAGATACTTAAAAAAAATAATTTCGGTTTTAGAGGATTTATTTGAGCAAATTTCTTTCAAATTTTTTTATTATTGATGATGCACATTTCGTTATTAAAAACAAACAAAATTAATAAATGAAGAGCAGATAATAAATTGAATTCAAAATCAAAATTCCAAAAATAACTATTGTAGCAATTAAAGACCATAATAATTACATAATGTATGTAAGTATGTACTTTGAAGAAATTTGATCACTTTTTTTCGATTCAATTTCCAATTCCATTTATTTCACATAAATAAATAAAATATGTATATAATTGTAAACTTGAAAAAAATCTCACAACAAAGTTCAACTTAAGAACTGAACGATTTTTACTCAAAGCACAAATCTTACTGCATAATTTTGTAATTAATAATAAAACAAATTTTAATTAATTAATTAATTAAATAATTTGAATTTAAAATTAATTTTTAACTTCTATTTATTCTTTTTTTTTTTCAGATAACTATTTAAGAGTTAATCTTATAATAGAGTAATGCTATCAATAAAATTGAAACGTAGAACTTTCTGACAATCAATGCAGCGTACAGTGCCCATTATAATAATATTAGTTTTAATTGTATTCTTTTTATTATATTATATTTTATATAATAGTGCGATACTAAATCAATATAAAATTTTATCAAATTATCAACCAAAAACCTATACTAAGGATCAACATGTTATATTATTATGGACAAAATTTTTCGCAGTACCAAATTGGGGTCTACCAAATGAAACCGTTGATCATAATTATTTCATAAAACAAAAATGTCCAAAAACAAATTGTATTATAACATCAAATCGTGATCATTTAAATTCAATAATTGATTATGATGCAATATTATTTCATGGTGCAGAAATATTTCCAATTATTCAACCGACACCATTAGAACGTTCACCAGATCAATTATATGTATTTGCGATACAAGAATCTCCAGCTGAAACAAAACATAATTTAAAAACAGATTATGATTTTTTTAATTTAACAATGTCATATAGATTAGATTCTGATATATTATGGCCTTATAATGGTATTAAAGATATTCAAAGTAATATTGTAATAGCACCAAATTATATGCCATCATGGAGAGAACCAGATAATATAAACAACAGTTCTAATGAATATAATGAATTAATAAAATTAGTTGAAAATAAAAATAAAATCGGTGCATGGTTTGTTTCACGTTGTAATGTTTTAGCAAATAGAATTAAATTGGCTTATGAATTACAAAAATACATGACAATTGATATTTATGGAAAATGTGGAAATTTAACGTAAGTTGCAAGTAAAATTTATATTAAATATATGTTAGGAACTGCCTTTTTTTAGATGATTACATCTATAAACTTTTAAAAATTTTGAATTTTTCATATATGTAATTGTTTTATTTTTCATTTTAGATGCCCAAGAGGATCACCAATTTGCGATAAACTATTAGATGAAAATTATAAATTTTATTTTTCTTTTGAAAATTCTCTTTGCATCGATTATGTAACTGAAAAATTATATAATGCCTTAAAGAGAAAAATTGTACCTGTGGTTTTTGGTGGTGCAGATTACATGCGTTTTGCTCCACCAAAATCTTATATAAATGCTGAACATTTTGATACAATAAAAGATTTAGCTGATTATTTACTGTATTTAGATAAAAATCCATCTGAATATATTAAATATTTTTGGTGGAAAAAACACTATAAAGTTGAAATAAATCATAATACTGGTTTTTGCCAATTATGTACGTTTTTAAATCAACCAAATCGTATTAATAGAAAACAAATATATGGAGATATTGAAAATTGGTGGCTTGGTAATTCGTGTCGTTTAAAACCAAAATTAAAAGAATTACATTAATTTTGTTAATTAGAAGTAAAAAAATTCAATTCATTCTTTTATTTTTGATATAATATTGCTTATTTATGTTAAAATCTATGTATTTGTCCAGTTTAAAGCTTTATTGAGTATGAGTTATATGAATGTATAGAATAGCTTGAATCAAGTTAATAGAGTAGTAGAAACGTTTGTTGCCTCAACATTTTTAAATTTTGCCTTAATAAATAAATTTTATTATAGTATTATAATATAGTTATGTACATATAATATATATATTATATGTTATATAATGTAATTTTAATTAAACAGAATTCGGATAAATTTAAAATTTTGAATAAAAATAAAAAATTAAATTATTTCATTTATGATGAAACAATCACTGCGATAGAATTCTGTACTTATGTATATTATATGAAAAAAAGTATATAAATTCCAAAATGGCTCATTTTTGAATATTTTTAATAAAATTGTGTACAAAAATAAATTTTGAAATAAATTTATATTAAAAATTTAAATGTTTTATTACAATTTTAGTACTTCAACTTCTGAAGAGATTATTGTATAATCTCTAACATGATACGAATCTCACTTTGAATAGGAAATAGGAACAAGTAAAAATTAACATAAAAATTTTCAACCTTTTAAAACCTTAGTTTGGGATTCAAAGTATGATTTCATTTAATTATATATTTTACAAAAAAATGTTATGCTTTGGAAGATTTTGCACACATTTGATGCAAGTGGAATTTGTTTTTTAAAATTAAATAAGTTTTGTTTTCCAATGCAATACACATTTTTAGATTCATGTACCTGAAATTTAAAATTTATAAAAATTTTAGTAATATTTTAAAATAATATCCAAATTGTTTTTTATAACATTAATAATTTTAATTTGTATATATTATACGTCGGCATATTTAACATATTTAAAAATTATTTCAAAAAATTATTATATAATGATTATGTACATATGTATGTAAATACAAAGCCCTCCACCAGTATAAAAAAGTCATTAATTTATTTTATCACATTTTCAAATTATTCTTTATCTTGAAATGGATCTTTTCCAATATATTTATCTAAAGATTTATTACTATCTGGATCAACTTTTGACAACTCTGAGAAACCCTCATCATCAACAAAACATATTTCATGACCGTCAGGATCAGCTAAAATGATAACACGTACTGTAGCTTTACCTGGTGTATCTAATGTAATCAATGGAGTCAAAATAGTTTTATTTTTTGATTTTATAATTTCATCAATTTTCGGTTGAAGATCATATGCCACCGCAAAAGCAATTCTTCCATATGCTTTAGCCCTATTTAACGGATCAGATATTTCTTTAATATTAAGTCCAGCTTGATTTTCACCATAACTTAATAAAATTGATTTATCTTCTTCTTTTAAAATTTTCATATTTAATATATCATGCCAATATTCTCTTGAGTGTATAAGATTAGATGAGTGTAATGTAACATGTAATACAGGATCTTTATTTTTTGGTTGAGGTTCATCAACTATAAAAAATTTGTAACCATCCGGTGATATTAAAACTTTTTTATTATTTTCATTATTCACTGGATAATTATTTTCTTCAGCTCTTTGGAGTACTTCTTTTGATTGTATTGTGATTCCTCCAAAATCATTTCCTAAAAAAAATTTAAAATTAAATAAAACCGTAAATTTATAAAATTTACCTCGTTTCTAAATTAGAACTAGAAATATTTACCTAATTCATAGGATTTAACTCCATAATTGTAAGTTAATTCAATAACAAAATGAGATGATTCTGGTCCGTATCCAATCATTGTTTTGCTCCAGCGATTATCGTAAGGACTATAAAATAAATAAAATTTATTATTTTGAAGTTGAAAAAACCTGAATTATTTTATTATGTTCAAAGGTAGGTCGATAGGTACATTAAGTTAAGAAAATTTCACATTTAAATCTTCTTACCCGTTACATTGAGCATCACATCCTTCTTTAAACTCCTCATGTCTTAATACCTGAAAACAGAAAAAATTGTATGCATGTTATAAAAAATTTTTAAAGATCAAATTTTATTGCAGAAACAATATATATGTATTACAAGTTTTTAACGAATCATTATAAAAACTTAAAAATGATCGTCTAAGTAGATAGCATTTTCCAAATATAGATTCCTACACCATAAAATTAATATCAAGTAAACTTTCAAATTAGAATACAAAGTAAACTAATTAAAAGCTTATTAAATTTTAAGTAGGTAGGTATGGAGGTACCTATACTTACATATATCTACATTATATAGCTACCAACAACTTATCTCTACCTATAATTAATTCGTACTGGCTCATTCAAGCATCTAATTATCTATTGCAATTGTTTGAAAAATTCAATTGAACGAATTGAAGGTAATATTTTTAATTAAATAAGAACTTGACTGAACGAATTGAATTAAATATTTGTTAAGTAATATGAATCATAATCTTTTCTAATCAAACAACTTGGTCGTAGAAATATTATTGAAATTTAAAGAAATATTCACCGTGAAAGTATTTTTTGATATTTAATTCAGAAGCGAAAAAAGACAAATATACTTTTCCACAATACGAGTATGCAATCGTTCAAGAAATTTTACAGGATATACAATCTATTAACTTTATAATTTGTTTTTAAATATTTGGAAAAAAATCACTTTAACTATTTTATCATTTTAGCTCCTAGAGTTTTCGATTTTCCACTTCGATAATTCTCTATGTGAACCACCCGTTAAAAGAATTGCAACTTAAACAAAATATAGAAAATTTACCTGCATTCCTAAAATGGTCCTAAAGAAGTGGGCATTTTTTGCTCTATCCCCAACTTTGAAGACATAATGTAAAGCTCTGGCTGTGATACTCATTTTTATAATTCAATTTTTCCTAAAAATATATCCAAAAGCAAAAAATTAATAAAAATAAATTCTTTTTAAATTTTATTCACAAAATATTTTAATAACAAAATAAAAAATACCGAAACCAATCCGTAAATATGAAACCGGTTAAGTTCGGAAAAAAATGATACTACAGTCTACAAATAAAAAAGTACAGAAACATTGACGTTGACGTTTTAACTGTCTTCTAAGGAAGAGTTTAGAAATCTAACAAAATTACTTTTACATTGGCCAAAGCAAAATTGTCAACATTGCCAGTTTACTTCAAAGAGCTGGCACAATTTTCAGTAAAAATAAATTTCACAATTCCCGCAGCAATTTCAACAAAAATAAACAGCAATTTCCGCACAATGTAAAGCGTTTTCTTGTAAAAATTTGTAAATAATTGCAAAAACTATGTTAAGGACACGAATTTGTTTGTTTCGCTGTAATCCGTGTGTATTAATAATAGTCCGATAATAATGTTTTAAATATTATAAGTAAGAAAATTTTGACGGGTGCAACATTCATAAAGTTGTTGTAGTATTGTCTAAACTTTGGAAAATCAATAAAAATATATCTATGTTCGGAAACACTAAAGAATATAGCTTGATGGTTTAGTACCAGGAGTAGTCAACGTGTTTGGCAATGATGTACCAACTTATTTGGACTTTAATTAAACTGTTCTTTTTTTATCTATAAAACTTTTGTATAATGCCATCTATGAAATTTAGTATAAACTATGTACATATAATTTTTGATGATTAGTCCTCTATCAACCAATAGTGAAAACTATTGATAAAAATTAATTTTTTGCTAAAACAGTTGCCCTCGGCAATTTACATAGTATGTATTTTTATTGCAACATTTCGGTTTTTATTTTATGTAAAAATACCACACTAAATTACTAACAGAAAAAACAAAAAAACCGTGAATATTTTTTTATTTTCGATTTGATAAAATTTGAAGAAGACTATATTGAATACAGTAGTCTTTCAATTTTAAAATTGATGGAGGAATATGTTAGGGGAGTGTACACCGGCAAATCAAAGAAATGTCATTAAGACTATTGAGTTTATGGAGCCGACGGACTGTGATGACCAGTGTCAACTAAAAACCAAACCAAATATCAGTCCAACTTCATCTGTATTGAATACATAACAACTTGTAATAACAAGAGTAACGTTTCAAAATTTACAGCAACTAGCATTTTTTACGGATTTTGCCTCGTTTGATTAAATTCTTATGGAAGTCTGATGTGTGATCGTCTGTTAATTTACTTTGATTAAAAAAGTAATGAACTTTAATAAACAATAAACTCAACGCATTATTTTATCAAACAAGGTCTTATTGTGTAAAATGTTTGAAGTTTCAACTTCATTTCAAAATGTCAATAATTTTCCCTTCACGTGACAAAATTAAAAATTTACCCCGTAAAAATTTATTTCCTGACAATCAGCTGGTTTTTCATTATGTTCGTTAATAAAGAAAGAAAGGTGATGTAAGTTTATAATGTTTCATTTGCTTAATTAAAAGTTGTGTGTATCAAAGACGCTGTCAAACAAAGTATAATATGTTTCCCTTCGATACATAATGCTCAACGCACATCCACATCTCTATTATATTTTGAATTGAAGTATGAAAATAACGGGAGAAATAGCGTCAGTTTGGCATTAATTTTTCTTTGTAAATTATAAAATTATTGAATTTCACAGGTTAATTGAGCATAGATTAGGAAAACTGCGGGACCTTAAACCTTGGAAAATAATAATGTTGATTTGACAATCTTTTGAAATAATTGTATTGAATTTGAAGAAGGAAACTGATACAGAAATATCATAGTCAGTCTAATTTGGAAAAGTGAGAAATATCAGGTAATATTCATACGTATGTACATACATACATTCTTGTACATATTACGTATATACATACATGCATTCACCTACCACCAAAAACATTGGGAAAAAAATTATTAGAAAACTATATCTGTGGAAGCAGCTTCGTTGGTTACCAATAGTTCTGATTAGTTTTTCTCTAAACTTGTCCTAATAATTAGGTTTGGTAACCTGTACATAGTTATGTGCTAGCACCTAACTCTTAATGAGGTTTCCATGGCTTTAATATTGCAAATGCCTTCACCACCTCTATCGGTTGTATAATAAGACTGTGTATAATATATATGACGTATGTATATATGAACATAAGTATGTATATGGATGTACTAAGTATGTAAGATTGGTATCTGAAATCTTACTTTACATATAAAATAGCAAACAAAAGCACACTCGTTTGGCTAGTATTCATAAGTTTTGAATAACTTACATTTAATGGGTTCTGTTGTTTACATTACTCAAAAGCTTATGGCGGGCTCTATATTTTTTCAGTTCTGAGTCCTAAACAAAATTTGCAATATTCATCTGTTTTATATTATTGTCATCTGTGTTATTAAATACTAATATTAAACTATGTATAATCGATAAACCTACTAGCTTGATGTTAATATTTAGTTTTGAAGAATAATTATAATTGATATTTAAAAGTTTCATTTTTTCAAGACTACACAATTGAAACTACAATGAAAAGATTAATATTTATTTGCAAACCGAAAATAAATGTATTAACATTAATCGAGAAAGCTAAACTATTAATTAATTGTAAATCAATGTGGAAATATTTTGGAAGTTACTTCTTGATCATTTTAAAATAAGGAATTAAAAAAAAAAATACATTCATGAATACAGAAAGGAAAAGTAGTAAGTATAACAATTAAGCAAATCTAATTTTATCTTAATATAAAACTTTCTTTTTTAATTTTAGAATAGAAGTGTGACAAAGATACAATTTTAAGTATATAAAACACCTTACAATTCGATGATTATTAAAAGCGGTAAGTTTGTATTTACAATTTGTTAATGTTAAGTTAATTAATAGTATTTATAAAATATATTGGTAAGACTTAATTGTCGTTATTAAAATATTTATAATTCATATTTTTACAACTTTATATTTTTTAGTAAAACATTCAATGCGTACTTACATTCTATTCATTATTAAAAGAATATTCAGATTTAAATCTTCGATGTTTATTTTGCATTTTTATTATTCGAAATATATATTTTAAAATTTTATAAGGCCCAAGGTTTCAGGCTCTGCCTGAACTTCTATTTTTTGTAATAATTATAAAATATATAAAATAATACAGTAAAATAAGAACATATTTAAAGCTGATAATAAATATCCATTTGAGGGGTTGATAAATAAATTACTCTAGCATACATATGAAATTAAAGAAGTGCAAGAAAATATTCAATCATAAGATTAATTTCGTCGGCTGCTTTAAAGTTTAAAAATGTATAATATAGGCAGGGAATTAATATTTCATAAACTGTCACACTTTAATATGCACACTTCTCGATATTCAAAGTAAAAATTTTAAATTTACCAGATTGGAAAGACCTAAAAAAGTATTCAAAATTGATTAAAATATCAAATGATACGGCTCTCGAATTGCACTGAGTTCTTTTTTTAATTTATTTATAATTTGCAAAATTAAAGAAATAAATATTTTTCTAGAATACAGAAATTAATTTTCGAATATTCAATATTTTAAAAAATTTGCTACTGAATTCATAGCGCAGTTATTTTTGTGGAATTTATAAAAAACTATGTAGAGAAACAATTTATTGTAATTTTTTCTGTTGGTAGTTAACTAATTGAGTATCTCAAATTCAAAACTTTGTAAAAAAATCAAATTGATTGTACTATACATTAACATTATTATATCACTCAATTAATTGTAATATCACTAAATTAAATTGTGTATCTCTTCTCTACATACTTTACAAAAGTAATATTCATTTTTTATAGTTACTCTGGCAACTACATCATTACCCATATTTTTATTGAAACATCATTTGAGTAAAGTTATAGGTGAAAACGAAAAGTAGATCTAACTGATATTTTTTTTGTTTCTTTTTCTTATCTAATAGGTATTTATTTTCTAATATGGTCGTCTCTTTTCTTTTCATTAAATTTATTTTCTTTTACCTTATATAAATGTCATTTTGCGCCGATGTAAGCTACTTTATAGCCTTTAAAAAATTGCATTGAGTAAAAAATAAAAGTTATACATGCACAAAACTCATACATTTACAATACTTTCATGATAAAAAAAGCAACAATAAAATTAAAAATACCTTTACATTAAATTCTCTCTCACCTGTAATATTTTTTTTTTCTACATTCATCGTTCATCAGTTTGAGTTTATCGGTCGTTTAATACAAACGGCAATCGACGGTGATTTGTAGATCGGTTTTTCTTTTTTATTTTCGGTATCCGTTTCAATATTGTTATAAAAATTTGTCGTGTTTTAATAATTTTGTTTAATATACGAATTTTTCTTTGAAATTATAAAAATTGTTTTTTCTTTAATAATTTTAAATATAATAAATAAATAATAATTGTAAAAATTTAAATGGTTTATAGCCAAATTTATTAAAATCATGTTTTTGTTACTAAAAATTTAATTGAATAATAAAATAATTTTTTTGTGCATTGATATCGCGTTTTTTCAATAATAAAACGAAAAACAAAATAAAAAATCATATTTGATCTACTTTGGTTATATTACTATATGTAGATGTCGCTCTAAGTTGTACAAAGCTCAAAGAGTGTATTTAAATTCTCGGTATTCATAATAAAATGATCGTGTACACACAACATAAAATATAATACCTACATACATTTATTATTGCAGTTGTATTATAGATATTATGATATTGTATAAAAAAGCGATTTACATAAATAAATATTGTAAATGTATATGTATACAATATTTATATAATTAAAAAAAAAAATACAATTCTGTTATACTTTGAATATAAAGTTAATTGTTGCAAAAAATAAAATAAAAATATTAAAATTTATTTTCTTTTTTATAAAAATTATAAAAAAGGAAGAATACGAATTATATTTTATTAAATTAAATAAATAATAAGATTTTGTTTTTTTTGATAAACTTCATAAAATTATAAATTTCCGAGTTTATATTAATTTTGTGCAGTGGTATAATAATTATTATTTTGATTTGAAATATAATTATAATAAGTATTCCTTATACTTATTATGAAATTATGAATAAAAATTAATAATTACACAATATTATTTACGTACGTTTAATTTGTTATTGACAATTAACATGCATATTTATACATACATATTATATGTATACTAATAGAAAATTATTTTAACAAAATTTCATTCGACTTTCATAATTTTTTAATTTGTATATAGTGATAAAATGATAATACAATTACTAATTTAATTAATATAATTTCCTTTTTGAATTCAAATTCGAAATTGATGTAATAAAAAAATAATAAAAATTTTATTAAAAACTGGAAAGATTTCTTTTTAGTTTTTATTTTTTAATAATTTTAATTCAATTAATATATTGATAATTAATTTTTAAAATATTAAACACGATCCAGTCTTTAAATTTCATTTACAACAGGTGGGTTTATTATTGTTTATTTGTATTTTAATATTTTGATTATTACAATTTAAATCAATTGTACATTTTGTTGAAATATTTTCATAATTATAGAAATTAAATGTAAAATGTATAATATTTCGATATTTTAAAATTAAATTTCTGGAATAATATTAAATTAATATTATGAACTTGTTAGATATGATTTGTAAAATAAATTTAAAATTGTGGTAATTTTTATTTAAATGATAATTTTCATTTAATCTAAAATAATTTATTAATATAAGCGAAGCGATTTTGTTCTCTTTACATTAGGCTCTTTACATTAGTTTTTCATTAAAGACCAATAATATCTATTTCAAAATTCATATTTTGTCTCTAAGTTTTGTTTAATTTCAAAATTAAAGATCAAATCTTTATGAATTCAAAAAAAGTTTCAGATCGCAACTCTCTTTTTCTCGGCACGATTTATCTATCTAGGTTGTGTGATAGATGGCACATTAACGTGCTAGTTGTGTTGAACTAATTGTGGTAAAATAAAGGTTTTTGCACATGGCAAACAATATTACTTACATGTATAGGAAAAATATTGCATTTCTGCATGTGACAATATCAAGTAAAAGCAAACTGAACTAAGTATATGTTAATCATATTGTAATCTCCCTCATAGTGTATTGTGCTAGTACACGGCTAATATAATATAATTTATTATGTTAAAAAGTTATAAATTTAATGCATCAATAATAAATTGTACAACTGATACATAAACATAAGTAAATATTTTGTAAACAAAAATGTTTCATACAAATGTCTATAGGGCATTTGTTAAAAACTAATAATCTGATTCACAAAAATATTATTCGAAAATATTAAAGCTCTTCGTTAACTTCTTAAATGTTTTATAGTATCTATATCGCAAATGCTTGAAAATATATAAAGATGTACTGTTTCGAATGATTTATCGAAAAACATGTTAATATAAACTTCTTTAATTTTGAATAATTGCAATAAAAAATAGTATATACAATAGACTCTTAGTAAATTTATTGTACTCATAAAAAGGCCCAAATTCTTCATTCAATCAATGGTCTGATTTTTCACTTTAACGTTGGGAATATTTTTGTTTTGAATGTTTTAATGCAATAATTTTATTTTTAAGGCGCATTGTAGAGATTAATTTCGTTTCTGTCTTGTTGAGGGATAGGAATAGCTTTAATGAAAAAAAAAATTATGGCTAAATAAGAATTAAGCGATTTTTCATAGAGACTATTCTAATCGTTAACCTATTGTTTAATAAAAATCTTATTAGGCAGTTTATTTTTGGTTCTTTTTCACATGCTTGTTTAACTGGTTTCGCTTCGCTTTTGATTTATGAGAAGGGAGTCCATTTGTTAATGAAAAGTTTAAAGGGAGGGCGCTAATTATGATCAGTGTGTTTTGTAGTATATACACATAAACTTTGATTATTTTGGACTTATTACGATTTATTTTTGTTTTCTGTTATTTCTTTTGGCCGCTTTGAAGTTGTCATCCCAAAAGTACATATTTATTATGTATGGATGTACCTGAAATCAAAAGTATAAATAATGATAAAATATTTAAGTTCGGTTTTAACAATTACCTTAGATTTTATGTGCATATACGTTGAAACATCCATACATGAATGTATGTTTGTATGTGTTTATTTTAATATCAAATTATTAAAATGAGTGTTGGTGGTACTTGACATTTGTTTTTTAAATTATTTGGAATAATAAGAAGAAGGAAATATTTATTGAAAATTTTTAAGTTTGAGATGAAAAGTTGACTCAGTTTTTTAATAAGAAAATAACAAAAAATTAATACTCGTACATATGCAACAAAAAAAAAAATAAAAAAAAAAATGAGAAAAATATTTGCTATTTATCATTGTCATTTAATTTTTAGTTGTCATTTTCATTTGTTTGGCAATATTTATTTATAATATTTTTGTACTCATACCAGTTTATAGATAAATTAAATTATTTGACGCGTTTGCACATAAAAACAAACCTATGTGCAGCATTCACACTAAAAGCAGTAAATTTTTGATCACGTTGGTTATTTTTTTTTTTCTTTTTCTAGAGATTTGTTATGCTTTTAAATTTGCACATACATAAGTACATATATTAAGCGGCATATTAAATTTTATATGAAATTTGTAAAATTTCTTAAAGGAGTGGTTGTTTTTAATTCAGACAATGACTGATTGAATTTAGTACGATGCTTACTATAAACAATTTATTTTGGGGATTCAATTAAAATCTGTAGTTGTAATTTGACAATTATTTATGAGATCAATTATATGTTTGGATGTTAAAGAGAGAGAATCTTTTCATTTTAAATTTGAGATTCGGGTACATTTTTAGCATCACACTAAATAAGCTGAGGAAGGTAACCTATAACAAATACAATATAAACAAGAATGTAGTATATGCGGAATCCAATAAAAAAAATATTGACCTAAATAAGACCTAAAGTGGGGTCTATTGTACTCGTAATTTTGAAAAATTCCTATTTCTTTTTTCCTAAAAAAGTTAATTTTCAGCTTTGATCGCTATTTGTACATTTTAGACTGAAAGAGTTACCAAAAAACTGTTTGATTAGGATAAAATTTGATGTACCGTTTACGTCTCTCTTTTTAGTTTTTAGTATATTAGGCTGCTGGGTTTAAATTAGCTTTCCTACATGTAATCTCTGTAGTAATTATGTAAAATAAATTGAAAAGTTTGAGAAATTACAATTTCCTTGTGGCTAAAGAGATCAGGTATAGAAAAATAAATTATTGTTATAAAATTCGAAAATTTTAATATGAGCTGACTCCTATATTGTAAAATTTACAACTCTGGCGAAATAACGCTTACCCGTCTTTTTTCCGAACAAATTTTATCGAATTGTATTTCGTACTTTTTAGGACCATTGCCAATTCGACGAAGAAAGTAGAGAGTCTCTAAGAAAAAAAAATAGGTGCGTTTGTAAACTCTGGGAGTGCAATTAATTTAAAATTTTATTCAAATATCAAAACACACGGTCTTTTTTCAAATACGACTTAAAAAAAACTTTAAATTTTTAAAGTTAAAAAAGCTATTTGAAGAGTTTTGAAACTCTGTTTTTTTTTACAAGTAATACTTATGTATGTACATAATTTGTACATATCAATAAAAAACTTGCTTAATTAAGTCAATGTTTTCGTATTTACACTTCGGTATAATTCGTGTACATTTCGTGTGAATATTTTTTTGATAATTGCAAAAATATTTTGACTGAGCAAGTAAGATTCTTCTAATGCACAATTAAAGTAAATTGCATGAACCGGTTTAAGGTTGTGTTATTGTTATTTATGAGTTATATATGTAAGTACATACTCAATAATATTTTTTCTTAGTTTAAATGTATGTTATGCATTAATCAATTTGTTTGGATGACGGAAACTTATTTAACTTTTTTCCATTATACTTTGTTTTCAATTTGATGAAAATATTTATTATAGTAGAATATTAAATTTACTATGAAAAACGTTATGAAACTAAACGTTAAATGTGAGTTAAGTTTATTGTTTTTATTTTTAATTTACTATATATACACGTACATAACTCTATCAATGAACTCATAAAAAAATTCAAATTCAAATGCATTCAACTAATCACGTATTGATGTTGTATTAAAAATTTGGATAATCGAATACAGTATACGCATGTACATACACATAATATACATAGGCAAATAAATAGAGAGACGACAAGGTTAATAAACGAGCAAAATAATTTTACCTTGGAATAAAAACATGCAAAATGATAGTAAAAACGATAAAAATTACATGTACATTTTGTGTTATAAAACGATCTTATCAAATTATAAATTAAAATTTGTGCATTTTGTTTATCTTTTATTGTAGCTTTTAATATTTTTATATGAATTATATAAAATAGATTTGAAAAAGCTCTATCTATTGTATCGTATAATGTCAAAATATCTGTGTTATAAATTTATATGTATGTAGGTATGTATAATCGCTAGAAATTTTTAATAATAATTTTATAAAAAAAATTTGTGCTAAATTATGTGGAAATAATTGATTAAATGAATTAATTTTTTTTATTCATTACGCTTAGTTTTTCGAAATATATGTAATTTAGCAATTGAATGTTCGTTTATAATGTTTGAAATGAAATTAATTGTGCTATTTAACTGGTTACATGAAAACTTTTCGTTAAATTTATTATGTAACTCAATTTTATTGTTCGTAAGTTTCGGAAAATGTAGTTATATATTTACATATATTAAAATTTGCTGAGGCTTCCAGTTTAACTCACCAAATTAAGGAGAAAATGAGCGATTTTGATATAGTAGCATAATGTAATGTTCGATTGGGTACGAAATTGAGATAGAATAAAATTAGACCGCATAATGTAGTTTTCAATTGAGTTTCATAAACCCAGTATGGTAAAAACAATGGGTTTGAATACATTTCCCATAACAATTTCACTAGACTAATTGCTTTGCTGGTAAAAATTCACTCACACTGTTTTATGACAGTGTCCATTTAAATCGATATTTTACATTCTAACTGTGAATTTGAATTATGTCAAATACATAATATTTTTCTTCTGTCAAATTAACGTTTTCAGTAAATACAATATACTGTAATTCCGGTTATGCTTAACAAGTTTGCAGCAAGGAAAGAAGGTTTAAAAAAAAACAATTATTTTGTATTGTAAAAAACACATGTCAATGGCAATTCTTCATTCGCATTATTCTCTAATTTGTTTTCGAATTTTCGAAATACGCAAATAATTTTATTAAAAATAAAGAAAAAAATTCTTTTTCAATTAGAGAAATAGGCTTCTAGGCTATAGTTTTGCTCATGAATAAATTATCGTAGACACGAAGAGTCATAAATATTAAAAGTATGTGCATTTTCTTAATTAGAGATAAAGTGTATTTGGTTTCTTTTAAATTAACTATTTTTTAATTTTACATTTTCAAATTTTTATACATAAATT